TTAATAAACAAAATAGGTAAAATGTTCATAATTAATTGGCTATTTTGTTAAATTTAACTTATACATTCATAAAGAAAAATTGCCTCTCCTCCTGTGCTTAAAAAAACGCTAATAATGAACTTTAACTTCTTAATTTTAATTTTAATAAAAAGAAAAAAGAAAATAGGAGAAGATGAACAGTACCCTTCCATTACAAACACTAGCATAACAGGACGAATGACAAAAAGAATGAGTCGAGAAAGATGACTAGCAGAAGAAGCAAACTTTTTTAGGGGAATGGTTGGTTGAGAGAAGCAAAACAGAGCCAATTCTGAGAATATTGACAAGTTTACTAACAAAATCAAGTGAAGTAATCAGAAATGATAAGAAAATTGAGAAGTTTTTTGAGTATTTGTTTTGGATCAGATCTGAAAGCTAAGGAGAGACCAAGTGCCTGTTGATAAGCTAGAAAATGTTTAGGAATCCATTTTCGCCTAACCATTTAGATGCAGAAAAGGAAAGGGGGAAAGGAAAAGGAGAGAGAAAGCATGAGGAAGAAGACTAGGGCGTTTACGTCCATTTGGATTTTAGTCTTTTTTTTGTCAAATTCAAAATCAAATTTATTTAATTAGTTTAATTTAAATATTATTTAATTGAAAGTCTAGATAACCAATAATGTTAATTTGTCTGGGGAAATGGTGCTTACATGGTGCCACGTCGGCACAACAAAAGGGCCAACGCAAATTTCCGTTAGTTTCACGGACGGGATTTTAAGAGGGTAGACTAATTAGATACATTTTTTAAAGTTAATAAACTACTTAAGTATAAAAAATAGTTAATAGATAAAATAGATAAAAAATACATAATCATTAGATCATTTGTTAAATTAAGTTGTTTGAAAAAATTAAGCCCTTTTTAATGTAAAGTATAATATTTTTTAGTGTTATGGAAATAACTAAGTTCATTTTAATGAATAATTTAATTATGATGGCAAATAATATTTTAAAAGAGATCTTAATGATAAATTAAAATTTTGTAGATATTAATATAAAAATTTCATATTGATGTTATTAATATCTAAATGAGTAATATTTTACTTAATTTTATATAAAACCAAATCTCTCATTTATACCCTCTATATTATTAATTTTTATGGAAATACATCTTTAAATTTTTGTTTTTATCAACACTCTAAATAATTAAAAACATGTGGAAAACTCCAAAGTTATCTTGTTGATCACGTGCAGAGCATGTGCCTGTTACATTCCGTTAACTGCATCATTGCGTGGCACGATTTCGCTAAGTTGGACATTATGTGGACATACTTTAATGATGTTGCATCCAACTCAGCAACCAAGTCGTCACCTGGTTGGCGATGTGGTAAGATTCTGCTGAGATGGCTGTTTTTTAGTGGGGTGGCAATAAGCGAAATGACAAAAAAACCATTCATGCTTAGATGGCAACTGAATTTTGGCAACTGAATTTTTTTCGAAAAAAAAAAAGGAATCAATTGGAGGCGCACACCCACTTTGTTGTCATCTCCTTCCTCGTCGTCTCGTCCTCCTTTCTCTATCCTTTCCATATCTCTGCATATCTCACCCCACCTCTGTACATCCTTTCACCGTATTAAGCATGAATGAATCTCGGGCAAATTAACCCTCTCCATATCTTTGCATCTCTCCTCTCCATCTTCTTACCCACCATGGAAAAAAAAAAGCCCCAAAAGCCACATGGTTTTTTGTCCAAACACTGCAAAAACTTCATCCTTAAATGTAATTTGCCATCCTACTCGGTAGAGATTAGCGTTTGGGATGTTCATGCAACCGAAAAATTTAGATTCTCAGAAATTGTAAAAAAACAATTTAAAATTTATTTTCACACGAAATAGTAAGAAATTGTGAACAATGCACGATTATTGACAAATCAAAGCGAATCAAACTCTATTTTGTTCAACATTCACAAATCATCACTAAAGTCTAAAATCAAATATAGCAATTTTGACCTTGTCGTTGGCCAAGGTTGGGCTCCTTGCGTGACCACTCGGACACTTGGATTGCAGGATCTCGTCGTGGAGCGAGGCTGCGTTCCCTCGCTTGTTGGTGAGGGAAACTAGATCTAGGTTTCTTGGGTTCCTAGTGTGAGGAACCAAATCGTAGTACTTCCGCCCTAAACTAATTTGTCCAACTGACTTGGTTAAGATGCAAAGACATGACTCTTTGGTCAACTGTAAGAAAGTGGCGATTTTGCACGGGAAGAAGACAAGGAAGACAGTAACATTTGGGTAAATTCAAGGTTTAATGGAGTGTACCCTTAAAATTCTAAGCCGGGGATTTCAACTTTGAATGTTAAATTAGGAAAGAAGAGATTTTAAAGAAAAAAAATATTTGCATTTCACGTTTGTAAATCAATGATTAGTGCTATTGAAAAA